TTGTTTTGCTCTACTGAGTTTCTTCTTTTGCCGTTGTTTGGTCCTGGCGGCGCTACAGATGTCGACAGACTAGAGTCCCTATAAGAAAGAGCTGGACAATGTCAAGTTTTGAAGCAAAATGGCGTCGATGAGCTATAAGTATAACACGATTCTAATTGGTTGTCCATTGAAGCTGATTCATGCTGCCTACAGTTGTTAGACAATACAGGTCGATGACAGGTTATGTCGTAATTGTAAACATGTAAGTGTGTATAATATGATACTGTATGATTTATACTTATGGAAAATTAAATATAAAATATAACATATAATAATAAATATAACATATAATATAACATAACATATAATATAACATAATATAATATAACATAATATAATATAATATAATATATCATATAATATAACATATAATATTAAATATAACATGAAATATAATTGTAACATTATTATTATAAAATTGTATAACAATAAATATTAATTAATATTAAAAACTTATCATCAATTTGTACCCATTTAAAACTACCTTTAAAATCTACCTATGACCGTCTTATTCATTAAACCTGCAATATTTCATTATACAAGGAGGATGTCCGTTCTCAGGGCATCAATCATGAATCTTTTCACGTGAGTTTAATTTTGCTATCGATCATATAACTTTTTTTCCTAGCATAAAATCGTGAAAAGTGAGCAATTTCTAAATATTAGGTGAAGTAAAAAGTTCTGAGCGTTTTCCGCTAGATATCTTTAGTGAGCCATATCTCACGATGTATACATCGCATCGGGTCATACTATACGGCGATTTAAAGGTGACATTACGCTTCAAAAAAAGTTCTGTGACAGTTTTGTGTTTGGTCAAGCCAGTTGTGTGTTACAGCGTTCCAAAATGGAAGTAAAAAAAGAGAAAATTCGATACATTCTTCAGTACCACTACGACCAAGGTGAAAAGGCGGAGCAGGCGGCCAAAAAAATTTGTGCTATTTATGAACCCAATATAGTATCGAATGCAACAGCAAAGCGATGGTTCCAACGATTCCGTTCTGGTAATATGGACGTCGAAGATGAGGCACGCTCTGGTAGGCCAATCGTCGAAAATGTCGATAAAATCATGGAAATCGTCGAGTCGGACCGGCATGTGAGCACTTATTCCATTGCCCAGGAACTGAAGATTAGCCAGAAAACCGTTTGGAACCATTTGCATAAGGCTGGTCTCAAGAAGAAGCTCGATGTA